GGAGCTTTATACCTCCCAATTAATGCTTCCCCAGACAACCCCCGAAGAAGAGCACAGGCTCTGGAGGCAAATTCAAAGCGTATTAAATTGGGCTCCTGCTGTGCACTGCTTTTGGAGACATTTTGCTCTCTCTGCTGACCTGGTTCCTATCTGAGGCTGGTCAACAAGGGAATCTCCCCACCCGCCCCCTCGCTTGCAAAGGGATATGAGCACAACATGGGCCTCACAAAGCTGCACTTCTCAATGAATCAACTAGGAGGCTAAACAGGAATTCAAGAGCTGGCCTTGGCTGGCGCAGGTTTAACAATCCAAGCCTATTAGGGCAGAGAATGCAACACGGCTGATTCCAGCCTATGACCTTGAAATGATGTAAATAAGAGTGCAGCAACCCTAGAGGAGTTGTAGTGAAACAGCTAGACACTGCAAAGAGATTTTAAAAATTCTGTTAATATACATACTTCTCCAGATGCTTGTTTATTATTATGCAAGACATTTATTATGCAAAGTGATAGAGGAGAATAAAAAAGCAGAGAAAGAAAAGACACACTGAGCATTTAATTCGACTTTTTTTTTCCCCAATGCTGTTTAGTGTTTTTTTTTTTTTTAATTGTGCATAATCATTCCCTTATTAGCAAGAATCTTTGAAGTGATTCAAGCTGTAATTTCAGCATTCCAAACTCACAGGTTGATATCGTAAAATCATATTGAGCCCTTGTAAGTGACCCGTTTTCCCCCTCTATATTCCACACCAGTGCTAGGGCTTTCTCCGTCTTTACAATAAATTATGTATCATGATTTGCCACTTCAAGAATAATTAGAACTCAGAGTTAAACACCAAAGAATACAAGAGAGCAGTTGATTCTAGAAGAGAGGAGTTAGCCACTTGGGGCAAAACCTATCTCAGCTGTAATGCCTGAATTATATCAAAATATAGATACACATGATACTGGGTGGGCCTGCAGGGGCTCTAACAGCCCATGATGAGCATCTGCTCCAGAAGAACCCTGTTTCAGAGTCAAAACATTTTGCAGACTCTCCTTTCCCCACAGAGCTGCAAGAAGGGTAAGACAGCTAAAGCTGGGAGCCAAAGAGGGTGGAGAGGTGACTGCTTCAGCCTTACACCAAAAGGCCATACCCACACCAGGACTATCAACTTGGTAATCAAACTATTAGCTCTAAGTAGACAGACAGAAGAGTATGCTCCATTTTTTTTAATTAGGTTTATGATTAGGTTGTAAATTCAGCAAAGTGTGCTGAAGCTCTGCTATTCCATTCTTCTCTAGGCTCTGCAGTAACCAGCCCTTGGTCTGGCCTACCCAAGCACTAACACAGGACAAGTAACATGTCCTGTCCTTCATTCATCCCACACGCGGCTGCTTTGATATATAATGCTAATAGTAGATCCCTATGGGAGAGCTGTGCTGCTCCCCAAAGCAGGTGCTGATAAAAACCTTCAAGCATCATCAGGGAATTTACAGCTGCTCTACATTACAAGAAATCTCAATGGGAACACACCAAAGACTTCATAAGCTTGTTATGAAAACAGCATTTTGCATCCTGCTGTATGCAAAGCCAGGTACCTCAAGTTAACAAAAGCCTGATTTTGTTGCTTGCTAAGCACCTCTTTCTCCCAACAGATCTCAGAGGCAGCGGTCAGCAACTCTGGAAAAAARGAAAACAGGTCTCAAGTGCAAGTAAATAATGTACAGAGGTCACAAACCTCTGCTTCCCAAACAAGCAGGTTTCAACATGGAATACATTTTGAATTCAAAAGCAGGCTAGAGATCCATGTTACGTTAGGCAACAAACAAAACCACACAATCTCCCTGTCAATCCCTAACTGCATAGAAGAGATGAGGAAACTCACTTTTAATGGCATCAATGTGGCCAAGAACATAGGAGGGTCCTCGAAAGGACTGTACATTTCTGCAGAGAATTTTCTCGCTTAGTTTGACATCGTAGGCCCTCCCTTAGCTTTTGTGCTGACAGGCCCTGGGAAGGCTTTATCCAAGGACTGGTTACTCTAAATCCATTCATTCAAGAGTTCCTTGGCTTCAACTCAGAAGGAGCTGGCACAAGTTGTTTCAGAGACCAGGCTGATAATAGCCTGTTTCCAGCGCTGGTTTGATCCAGGGCAGAGGATGTCAGCCAATGTCTCAGCTGGCATGCACAGATTAACTACCACCAAAAAATAAAAAACGCAGACAGGAAGGGTTCACTGACAACCACAGACAAGCTAGACTCAAGGTGTGGTGAAGGGCAGGTATTTCCCTAGACAGCTGYATTTTATCTCAAAGCTGTCCCAAGCTTTGGCTTTTCACGAGTCACCCAAGCAGGCCTAGATCAGGGACAAACGCCAAATAAGACAGCCAAGCAGCAGAGAAAGACAAATTTTTCATAGATCTGTGTGAGGAATTACTGACTTTGGTTCAAAAAACCCTCAGAAAAGGCACACACATTACAAAGGAAACTGGTCTGAGATGGAGCAAAGCTTCAACTTCAAGTCTGGTAAGCAAAGGACCAGGGACAATTGTGTCCTTTGGTGTGGGAAGCAATGAGATTCAGGTGACATGGTCAAAGGCCCTGMTCGTCCAAGAGAGGAACAGACCGTCAAGTCCTGCCAAAGCAATTCTCYTGCACATACCCCGAGATAGATCAATACAGCCCTACCAAATGGTGGCTTGGAGAAGGGTCCCAGCCCCACAGAGAAAGCTGCAGCACCCAAAAGACTGCTTGGATAGGCTGAGCACTTCTTAGACACGTCGAGCACAGAGACAGGAGCCTGATCTACTTCTTGTCTTTGATGCTWTGAGTGGCTTGACCCACAATCCCCAGTCCTCCGCTGCTTCATCCATAAATTTGATTTCCTTACCTTGGAGTCTGCTTTAAAGCACAGGAATCCATTGATTTACAGTTGTAAGTTACAGGCAGAGCCACCAGTCGATACAAAAATGAAACGGCCTAGTGAGCTTAATTTACAGACAGGCCAGTAGCATCCAGTTATTGCGCTTTCCAGGGCAATACTCTGCACCAAAGAGTAGTTAGTCTATCACTCAGACCACCACTTCTGCTGAAATTACACCCTATTTTCCTACCTCCCTTGTTTTAGAAGCACTACTGCTCCTGRGGAGTCTCAGTCCCAGACTGGGCCTGGGTCTCTTCACACTCAATACTGCACAAGCCCAGAGTAAGACTTTGGTCCAGAGCAACAGCTGCTGGTCTAGGGCAAAGCCCACGTGATTATGCAGTGCCACACTAAATACGGTGTTAGCACCTGCTACCTTCAGGACTCGGATAGCATTACAAAGAGAGGAGATTTTCATTGTTAGTAAACTGATGTAATTTATTTAGAGGCAGTCATTTATGTTTACTGGGCTATGAAAGAACAGGAAGCGTCTGGCATCTACAGAGATGCAGATTGATCTCTCTGTCTCTTTTTGACAGCCAGCCAGCTTCAAGACCGACCTCGCCAGGCATACTAACACAATGACTTGCCATTTTTTACCCCGTGCTATTGGAGAGAAATTTTGTACTTCCCAAGGGAAAGTGGGAAATTCTAACCATATGAATAGTATAAAATTGACTGGGAAAGAAGACAGATGATACGGGTTAGAAAATTTGTGTAGGCGTAAGCTGGCCTTTTCCATCTCAAGTTGCTTCAACTACAGTAGCGGCATTGAAAGAGTTTAGTTCTCTGAGAAGACATGATCTTGCAGGGAAAGTACTCCRAAGTACTCCAAAATAAAGCCCACAGACCTTGCTGCACAAAATGCCTATGAGGAAACCTAAAGCAAAATGAATTGTCAGCTATCAGGTAGGTCAGTACAAGCTAGAGTCACATATCTGCCTGGTGCATGGATGCATATTCTAAGTGGCATACACATCTCCATGATCATTTTTTTCTGTTACAAGCTACAAAGCCTTCTTCAAGCTGCATCTTATGTGACAGTACATTGCACTGACTGGAAATGCTAACCCCAGCAAAGACAGATATCACTGGTGTTAGTCTTGTGAGCCAATGACCTTATRCTTGCTCCTGGAAGGAGCTATGCCTTGCCTAGGAAAAGGAGCAGAGCACATTCTTGAGACCAAAGTTTCACAGCAAAGCACATATGCTGGCTAGACCAACATTTATGCCTCAAGCTATACMGACTGTCCTTTTACAGATCCTATCTCCAACCTTACATGTGTTTTTAAAGCAAAGTAAATGCTTAGACAAGGGCAGAATCACTGTGCTGTAAATTTACATGAACGGAGTGAGATTAGAATCTAGACTACACACTTTGAAGACATAACTACAGAAGAAGTATATTATTAACCATCACTTTTTACTATGTAGAACTAGAGCAAAGTTATTTGAAGCATAAAAAAAGTAGCAAAGGGCTGCCATATTTAATAAATCACGGAATCAATTATTCACTGTGAAAATCAATTACTTACTTCAAATGAGAATCTTATGAATAACCTCATGCCCTTTCATGCCATCTAAGAAAGTTACAGGGGAATCAGTCAGTAAAAAATGTTTCACTTGTCTTTTATGTGCATTAAAAAGACCACACAAATTCAAGGAATTCTGTGCAGCTGAAGCACAATGCCAACAGAATAGCCCAGAAGCATTTTAATGAAGTCAGTGTTAATTAGTTGGATTTACATGGCAGTCAAAAGCAGAGTAGGACCCATTAGCGACACAGGTGCAATTCTGTTCAGCCCATGCAATATAATCAGAATATAACCAGACAAAAATCACATTAAAGAACTATTCATAAAAGAACAGAAGTGTATCTTCACAGGTCTGAATATACTGCCACAGACCTCCACAGAGCCACTACTGAGTGAGCATCGCTTGGCTTTGCAGCAATTCCAACCACTTCCTGCCTTTAAAAGTCTTCAAACCCATGTCCTTTTTCAGGACCATGGGTCCTGAAAAGTCACCATGCAGTCTTTCCCCTGCCACCTACAGACCCAACCATGCCAGGAGCCCAGCAGTGCAAAGTACTCACCGAGCTGTAGAGATATCCCTCAGCGTTCATGGCAACATATAGACCTGCCTTCACCCCTTGGATTGCCACCACACGAAGACCCACAGGAATTAAATTGAAAAGGGCTGTAGAAGGAAGAGAAAAACAACAGTATTCATCATCCTGCACTCTGTCTTTCCTTTGGGACAACCCACCCCACTCTCAACTCTTGTAAGAGATACCAAATTAGAAATAAACGTCCTGCTGCAAGACACAGAAAAGGTCTGTRAACATGAGATCAATGCTGAAAGCAAATTTTAAAAAGTACTGAATTCATCTGYCTCTCAAGATCCTAAATACATCCATGAGCCTTTACAATGTCAAGGGCTTGGATACACATCAACCCAACAACATCTTGACAACGTCCTGTGGACCAGTGGAGCTGCAGCAACTGCGCACGTACCTGTGTTTGCCATGGGCAAAGATGTGTAACACAACTTAGTTTATGTCACCCCAAAACAGACTTAAGCCTAGTCACATTTTTTTTTCTTTTTTTCTTTGCGTTTGCCATCTGCGGAAAGAGTATATGGGCAGCTACCATGACCTGAACGATGCAAACTGACTTGACTACGTGACTAGTCCTGTGATCTCTGCTGTCAAGGGCATAAAGAAACTCAGGAAGGKATATTCCCAAACTCCAGGGCTTGAACGTTCTTCCACATTCAGAAAAAGCACTGGAGAGCATGGAAAAGGATAAGAGCTTTCAAAATTGAATTTCACAGCAATCTTATTGATCAAAGCATTTCAGTCACTTCCATTTGTTGTATTTCAGTGAATAACCTTTCCCATGAGCACACATATTACCATAAAGTCACACTTCTGCTACATTCTTAACATAGCCAGCTCAAAGGGAAGAGGACAAATAGTGTTGATAGACTGCGGACCGATGCCTTAGCGCTGCTTTGTGTCAAATGAGATTTGTAGGACAAGAGCACCCAGATGTTGTAGGAGCCCTTGTGCATCAACTTAGAAAGAGCCAACTAGAGCTTGTCCAGGGGCACTGCCAAACCAGAAAGATGAGGCACAGGGTCAGGCAGAAACAGAGGCACAGATAACATGGAAATGTTTCACTCAAGACTTTTACACAAAAATCAGCCCTGCTCTTCCAAATCGGCCCCAGAGGAGACCCTGGCCAGCATTAATGCTGGTATGACAAACTGGGATCACTCAGATCCAGCTCAGCTCCAGCCCCACAAAACACCAGTTACATATAGACGTGCCAAGAAACGCACAGGGATGTTACTCCAATATGGGAAGGTGTGAACCCAATGAGATACGTTTCCTAGAAAGCTCCATCACGTACAGTCTGTGAATGATTGCAGAAGAGATAGAGGTTTGTTGGGAATGTTTTAGAAGGCAACAGTATTTAAAGTAATCAAGGGAAAGAAAGAAGAAAAGAAAAAGAAATGAAAGTATGTTCTGACTCTTGCAGTCTGAGGAGCAGAGAAGAGCTTCACTAAGGTCAGGTAAGTCACATAGGAAAAAAATAGGAGGAAAAAAAAATTCAAATAGGAGGAAAAAAAAAATCCAGAGTCCAGAGGGTGTGAAAAAGAGCAATGGGAAATCGGTTATATTCTAATTGGTGGATTTGCTTAGAGGTCACAGTTGAACACCTTGTCAGGTATTTCCTTAAGGTATCTGAGAAAACATAGGGAACACAGAAAGTAACTTTACTGAAGGTACTGAACAATTAGGTGGCCCTGGTTAAGCTAGATTTAGGTTTGTCTCTGGAAAGGGATTTATCAATCCCAACTTCAATCTCTCCCTTCTATCAGATATCAAAGAAGAGTGGATGACTCCTCTAGGTGARCTGCCCAACAGCGAAACACCTCTAGCATGACCAACCTAACCTTGCTCCTAGGCCCATTTCATACCTTTAAGCATCATATCCAGCAAAACATCAAAAAAAACTCCTCTGAACTGTCACTGGAGTCAGTGCCTTGATTTATGTGATTTCATGGGAGGGTGGGCAGCACTTCAACAGCTGGATATAGTAAATGAGGTCCAGTGTGTGTGTCGGTCTGTAAGCAGGAGTCATGGGCAGAGCTGCTTTGATATAATTCCMAGATGGGTTAAATAGCTCCAGTGCAGCTACTCAGCATTAGAGAGCTGCATTATATCACAGTTCTCCTGCTGAAAAGCTCACTAGCSAAGGAGAGCTTATACTTCTACGCTTCTGTCACTATCATGAAGGTCTAAAGCCCTCTACGAATAACAAGTCTATTTATAAGCAATTCCCCACCCCATTCCCTCCCCCACTGAAAAATGGAGCATATTACTGCTAATAACGAAGCTAAATGGGCATCATCATTCATTTCCTACAGCCAATTTGTCTTGCATAGAAAACCTGTGACAGAGCATTCAATAGGCAGCAGAGGGATAATGCCCAGAATTAGTGGGCGAGAAGTCCTGCTTGGAAGCGCACAGGTGCCTCCAGATCCCTTTCATCCACACAGACACAGCAAAGGTGGGCAGAACAGCAGCAACCTGCTGAGCTCCATGTCACCATAGCCAGGTCCTCTGCTTTTTGGGACCGTGCTGCAGGTTGGGCTAACAGCACCAATAGTCACAGCTTTGAGACATGGCAGGGCATCCTCCCCACTCTGGGCACTGCCAGGCAGTGAAGCAAGGAGGCAGCAGGCACATGGGACATGGGCAACTTGGCAGCCAAAGACACTTTGGGAACCAAATGTTTTCTTCTGTTAAAGTATTTTTAGGTCATACCCAAGCTTCAAACATTCTCAGGCCTGAAAATTCTCTTTCGCACCCAAAAAAAAACCAAGAAAAAAAACAAAATGAACAAAAAATAAACCCAAAAACACACCTCTTAGGAAGCTGAAAGGTTTGGGTTTTTTTTTTTAAATACATTTTTCAGCTCATTTTGGAACAAATGTCAAAGTTTCACTTGCAATAATTAAAAAAAAATCCAGAAAACAAACAAAACCACTCTTCTCCTCCAATCAGTCCTGAAACCAGGCTGTGTCATTTTGTGTCAGAAAAATAGAGAGTTCTCCTTAAGCTGAAACAGAAGATGTTGGGATGGGAGGAAAAAAGCCAAACTAGCTGTGGCAAGGTAGGACTAGACACATGGTTTGGTGGCTTGAAGGAAAAGGTGTTCAGTAGATGTTTTTAAAGTCTCTCCCTCTATTGCGAATGGTAAACTTTCTAYTAAATCTACAACTGCATATGGGATGGATATGTTTTTAATTTCATACACAGACCAAAGCAAAATGGCATAGACTATTTCTGATTCTTTTCCCTCATTACCATATTCACTCACAGGGCAGATTTACAACTGATCCTAGTTTTTTGATGCTATTCTTAGTGATAGTTGTGCAGCGCTACAACCAGGGATGTTACAGAAGGATGCAACACCTCATTCCTGGAAACATTCAAAGCCAGAAAAAGGCAACTTGATCTAACTTTGAAGACAGCTCAGTTTTGCAAAGGAGGGTGGACTGGAGACCTGAAAAACTTCTTCCAACCTCATATGCTTTATCTGCTTCAGTGTGTCTGTTCAGAAAGTCCCAATCAAAAATACCTCTGTTCTGCATAGATAGCCAATGTATACTTGAAAAGGCTGCCCTGAGATACATTGGACCTTTTCCATATGGCCAGAAGAGGTGACCTACCCCATTGCCTACATGCTGGAGATTTGCASATGTTCAGCAGGATGATATTAGCATGCTAAGGAGTCAAATGGCTCTCATGAAGAAGGGATGTTACCACCCTCAGCTTGGGGCTTGCGTTGTAATGGCTCTCTCCCTACAGCAAGAATCAGTCCTGAAAGTCCATATGAAATCCCTAGAGTCAAAAAAGTTACTGCCCCAAATGTAGCTTCATACAGGACATTAAGAGCACAGACAATGGTATCCAGACAGTTGCATYCATGCAAATCCGGTGCAAACAAACAAAAAAACCACACGCATACATATCACTTTTTTATGTATCCCAATGCAATTAGGGAGAGGATTTGCCTTGCTGCTTACATTACAGTGGCATGTCTTTAACTGCATGGTATAAGGGATATAAGGAACAGATGTCCCAAGTGCCGTTTTGCAGGAAACCGGCTGAGTGCCTATTCAACACTGGTAGAACTTGTGTTCTGCTCCCCCCCTCCTTTTTATTTAAGGGAAAGGGGGTGGAAAATAAATGGCATCAGCCTCTCAAGAACATACATAAAATGGGCACCAGATAATTCATTTAAAAATTGCTTAAATATTAGCAACAGGCGAATATTGTATTACCCTTATGCAAATACCTAGATTTTTATTAGAATTTAATTGCATTAGACAACTAAGAGACGCATCAGGTCTCATTTTAGGTGTTTACTTTACCAGAGTAAGCCAACCTAATGTATTGCATGAAAATTAGGCTTCCTTTCATAAGGCTAATTTGAATAATCTGTGTGCTGCTATAGAACATGGAGCCGGGATGTATAGAATATGGTATTCCACCATGTATTAACAGCGTTAAGACAGCTTCTGCATGGCAAATATATGACCAGCCAGCCAGGAAGAGATTCTGCTGTGGCCACCACGATCACCCTCCTCTGACAAAAGATATGAATTAATCAAAATCCCCTCTAGGAAAAAGGAAACGCTGTTTCTCTGCCCTTTGATGAATTTCATGTCTGCACAGATACACTGCACATACCTCTCAGGAGTTGGTCAGGAATYTTCTGGAGAAGTGCTTTTAAAAATCAGAAGAGAGTGAAATAGATCTGGAACTGTTCACTTAAATGAGGTTTGACTTTTTTCTGGTTAAAAAAAAACCCTTGAGAGCTTTGGAAGAAATTATACAGGCAAAAAATAGGCAGAGTGCTTTACACTGGCATTTCCAAAGTGGAAAAAATATGTGCTTTGCTTTGAAATAACCTTTAATTTTGAAGCTTCATATAATGCAAGCAGTTGAGTAAAACTGATGATTTACAAAGAAGAAGAGTGCATGATCAAAATTAAAACTCATTGAAAGCTCATTCCTCATTTCATTTTCAGAAGCCAAATTTATCCAATTAGGCTATTTTCTTCTCTTTCTCCATACGAAGGACATGAGATAAAAAGCATTTTGGCCTCAGTTTTACCTTAAAAACCTCACAGACCACATACTGACTAAAACTTTCTGTCACAGACGCTCATTTTGAATGACCAGCTTGGCACATTTGAGCCAGATGCCTCCTATCTCACCAAGTAGCCAAGGCTAGACTGTCACCCAAAACTGGATGAAAGCTGGAAAAGAGTGGGAAGAGATTTAAGCTACACAAGTGCCCTTCAGCCCCTCTATTTTCACTTAAAGAGCAAGGACAGAGTACAGTACTCAACACCTCATCAATTACATCTATAACATTCCTAAGGARATCCACAACTGAGACAATTGTTTGGGCAACTTGAGGCCCATCTCAAGTCACTGAGACAATTGTTTGGGTGATTTGAGGCCCATCTCAGTCTCACAAGGGGACTCACAAGGTACCCACTACACTGACCTAGACATGGCCAGAATCACCTTTTCTCATCTCCCTTGCTACACTCAAAAAGCAGTTGCAAAACTGTTCTTGCATTTTATTTTCCTTTGTGCTTACCTAAATTCACTGCTGCTTTCATTTAAGCCCATTACTTTGTTGTTTGGTCCACACTGATAGATGAGGGTAATGAATTCCTGTCATCTTTAGCAGCTCTTTGTCTGAAGAGCAAAGTCCTACTAGAGGCCTATTTGTCAATGACATGCAGAGGACATCCTATTGCTTCTTGCTTAAAAAAAAAAAAGGCAAAAAAAGACAGCTAATATGACCCAACACCGGGCCATCACTCACATGCTGAAGTCCACTGAACTCATATGTGTTAGTTCTTGCCTGAGAAAAGTCAAACTCTTCCATTGTAGATGAGGGTGGGAGAAGTCCTTTCCTTCCCCTTATATCCTCTGACATAAATTAGAAGTTGTATCACTGTAATTTGTGCTTTTTCATATGTTGAACACCAGCATGAGACCTCAAACCTGACACTCACAGCATGCTGCTGTTCCTGGTGTTTTCAAGAGGCTGCACTCAGTGAGTTTCCAGTGATTGCAGCCTCCGGATCATTTCATGAGGGCTTTATGGCTTCCACCATTTGAGCTACCTTCTAAAAGCTTTTCTCTCCACACAGTGCTTTGCATGTGGAGCCCAGTCAAGACTCAGCTGGGACACTCTCAGCACACAGAGCATCCCCATGAGTGCACCCTGCCCACTCTGCAGTGCTGGGCAGGCACTGCTTGCACAGATCCACGCTCGCCTTGTGCTCTCRTCCAAGCACATTCCTCCCAGGATGATGCCAAGGCACTGCTACGTGGGCTGGGCTATACAGAAAATCCTCAAACTGCCTCTGCAGCTTGAGTCCTGCCTCCTTCTCCAAGGAAGGATGTCTTTGAACCAGCGAGCAGTTTCTCTTCTTGTAAGGACTTGTCCTCAAAACAGGTTCCTTCTTCCACAATGTACCTGAGGTTTGTTTTCATTAGGTCTACCACACAGGTCACCTTTAGTTCATCACTATTAATGACAGGGAAGACACGTTCGCCAGCAGGCAGGCTACATATGATACCCTTTCAGCAGTGGCATTGAGAGCTTCAAAGTAACATAGAATGACCCAAACCTAAGACTTCAGTCCTACCCCACGGCTGCAGCTAGTGGCACCAAGTAGCTGTGTTCACTGCCCCCTCACAAAGTCCAACTGAGGCCCACAAAATGAAGAAATGCTGCAGAAAACACCTTGCACCTTGTCTGACTTTTCAAGGACYTTCAATATTTGTAAACCATTTCTGTAGCAAGGAAGAGGGGCTACTTGTACATGTGTGTAAACCAGGATGKCTCCTGCACATCAGCATGATTTTTAAACCTGCATGTCTCTGCTATAGCACTTTGCTTTGATGGACGATGAATCAAATCCCTTTCAACAGGGTTTTGGAAGCAGACCTCATTTGGGAAAGGTCATTCAATACCTAATCCTCAGATTAAGCATAAAACACTAGATTTTTAGTGTTTTATGGAGATAAGTTTTCTCCAACCTGGCAATTCCTAGTGCTTGCTGAATTTTTCAGGACAAAACAGTGGAAAACAATTTTCTCCTCTTCTCCTTGGAGAGWGAATTCCCCCTATCCTTCACCCACGTGGCATGCATATAATCTTCTTTCTCTTCTGGCAGCAATTCAAATCATGGGTTTTATTCTACACCCCACCCAGATGGCAGCTACAGAATCCGGGGGGCAGGGAACAAGATTGGAAAGGAAACATATGATATTATACAGGCGAGATTTAAAGGGGAAATATAGAAMAAAAACGTGCAGAAAACAGCTGGCTTCTTCCTAATTTGATCTTTTTTTAAAAAAAGAAGAAAAACACAAAAACAGAAATATGAAGCTTCATAAGTGAATCCTACTAGGTGTTGTATTTGATTGTAATTGGGTTGCAAAATAGGCTAATTTTTCTTACTGTAGTCGCTGTTTTCGTCCTTGGTCCCATCAATTGTACCATCTGGGTGCATCTGCAGGAAGTATTCCTGCTGGCTGAATAACCTTGTCACAATTCCTTTCAGCTGGGGTTCTGCAAAAATAATAATAATTATTAGATATAACCAAACATGTCCCAAGTGGCAAGAGATCCGATTTGCATGCTCCCCATAAAGCCCTCAATAAATAAAGCAGTGCTGGTAAGACAGCTTTCTGCAACTCCTTTCTAGCGTGGTTGTAAAACATTCAAATATACATAGACRTACAGGCAAACAAAATGGAGATCAGATGAATGGGTAAAATACAATGCATATTTGGTTGCAGCATAAAGTAACAGATTTGTGGAATATCTCTTTCTTGAAAGTTACCTGACAACTAAAAGTCTTCAAATAACTTAAGCATTCTGAATAGGCTGCTCATTTAGAGAAAATTCGTTAGCAGTTGCAAAGAATTTGCTTATAGCTTCTTATTCTGACCATGATGCCAACCACTTTGCTTTCCATATATTTAATTCACTATTATGTAGCTCCAGTTTTATGAAAGTGAAAAATCTATTTAAATCAATGATATGATAGAGGTGCAAAGCTAAAGTAACTGAGTGCTGAATCAGGCTGCATGAGTCCAACTGCGTGGGCCTCAGGGAGCAAACTCCTAAGCAGAACAGATGCAAAACACCTCCAAAAATGACCTCTGAAGCATCTGTGGCCACCTCAAAACGCCTCTGTTTTAAGATCCCTTATGTTGTTCCCTTCCAGGAAAGGAACACAATCCACATTTTGTCCGGAAGATGGGAATCACCCTTTGCCTTTAACAATGTCCTTTCCTAGCTCCAGTTCCTCACGAGATGGTCAGTGGTGGACTGATCAGAAGCTCCCCTACCGCCCACACAACACATTTTAAGACCTAGCAGGAGAGGAAAATGAAAATGAAAGATTTGCCACAAGACACTTAACATGTCAGAGGTCCACAGTATTACTGCCAATCTTCCTTCTAACTGATCAAGCACAAATTAAGCCATCAAGAACCCAGGAAAACTTCAATTTATCACATGAATCTCACAATTTGCCACAGATACTGCTCCAGCAAAGCAAGGCTGGACGTGAACAGACAGCCACAGGCGCTGGATTACAGAGCACATTCTCCTAGTGTGGCAGCAGTTTGTAGTTTTATGTGACCACCCACSAAGAGTAAATAAATAAAAGCTAGTTACTGCTGGCTCAATAGACAGGAAAAACCCAGCGTAGCATACCAAAATCCAGTCAGCCTCCCGTCTTTCCTGCCTCCAGTGGGACTSTTTAATAAGCCCTAGTCATTACATAACCCCGGTCACGTTGGGTGTTAAGTGTTTGCATTAGGAGCCCCCATTCCAGGGAGCTCTTGCAGGASCCTCTGCTCAGGTCTCCTCCTCGGCCACCAAAGTCCCCTTGCAGCAAGCAGGGCCATGAGGTGCCGACAGGCTGCAGGTGCAGAGGATTTCCCAGCTCTGGCAGCCCCTCCACCAGCCTGGGGAGGCTCAGGGACTATTTTGCATCTGCAAAAGCACATACTTGCCGCTGAATAAATCAGYGGCAGTTTCTATGCTGTCTTTAAAAAAAGTGATTTCATAGCAATCAGTGCTGCAGACTGCAGAAGGGGCCTGTCTCTATGCAACTCAACTCTGGGAYGAGGGAAGCAAATAAAGTACGGCTGTATTAGCCCTCTGCTAAGAGCTAGTGGCAGTCAAGCCAAGATGTATCAAAATGAGACTCGGATCAAACAAAATGCTTTGCTTTCTTCTTACTAAAAGTCTGTTTTGCTGGATGCAGATGCTTTATTTAACTGGCTTTTCTAACAAGCACATTGAAGCAAAAGGGAAGAGAAGATTTATTTTCAGGCACAGATGCCTGCATCACCTTCCTTGCTCCTGCCTACTTTCTGTCTTTCATCTAAAGCCACAATGGTAAAGGCACTTACTTATAGGCACTTTCTGATATGAGAGATGTGTGTTTGAATCCCTGAATGAGTCTGTCTCATTTTTATTCTCTGGTTAAATTTTAATGTGAAAGTGCTTTACACAAAATGGAAGAGCTCTCAGCAGGACGGACTCAAACACGCTCCTGCAGCTTGAAGCCTTCTGAGTACGAGGGAAGGGGAAAGAGCTCGTCTTGAAACCTCTCGGAGACAAGGACTGACCCTGACTCGCTCTTCCTTGCTCCGGAAGATGTTAAATGATAGAACAAAAACTCCCCCTTTTGTGGGGTCTAAAATATACTGTGATGATGCAACTCATTTTGGAAGGCAGACCTCTCCCGCTACTGAGTCAAATATAATACAAATTTGCTCGTTACTGGTAGTACCTTGTATTTTTTAGAATTTATCAGAACACCACCCGAGATCAGCTGACGTCCTCCTGAATCAGGGATATGGATGGAAACACACAGGAGGCTGCAAGTGCCACCACAGAGAAACACATGCTAAGCCTCAGTGTCCCCTCTGTTACTGACCTGTTAAACACAAGGTCAAGTTTGACTCGAGCTTTGCCCTGTGGATAATCCAGGGCTTTTCCGAGTCAATGCCTGCCACAGTACAGGCTGGAGAGGAAATTTTATCTCACTTCCCCTCCCAGTCTGACCTGGTTTTCACAAAGTTTGAGGCTCACTCCCAATCTCAAAGAGAAATTCAAGGGGAACGGAACTGAGAGCTCTAAGCCACGTACASAAATCACCACATCTCTCCTGCTCCTAATGCGACTTGACAGCAGCGGTGTTCCTGTCTCTCCGTGCTGCACAGATCCTTTTCCACGGGAGCATCTGTGCTCCCTGGACTCGCCGAGGAAGCCCTGCAGCGCCAGCTAACGAAAGCTTTTCCAGAAACCACAGGGTCAGGAGGCACCTCAGGGACGTGCAGCTTCTGCTTCCCCCAAACGCTGCACTTCTTTGGGTCTTTTTCTACATGAAAGAGCAAAAGCCCAGCTACACCTTGGCGTAGCTACCTCAACTATATGCAGAAAGAGCAAAGAAATGTGTGCAAGGAGTACAAGGTCCCCCCCTTTAAATACCGGCTGCAGCCGAGGATAGTTAAGAAGCTGCCAGGACAATGCACAATTTGAACCACCCACTAGAGACTTCCCCACAGTGCAGGGAGAGAATTACCCTTCCTAGGCAATATTCCTAGGGATTTCAACATTCCTAGAATGTGAGAGAAGGAGTTGGAGGGGATGGGAAAAAGTCAACAAAACAAGCACAAAACCTTGATACTTTTATTCATCTAAAGGTCCCCTCAATGATATTGCCTCAAGCTATAATCATTAAAGGAAACATGCCATCATACTAGAAATATATATTTATATAAACACACACACACTCACACTAGCACAGCTAAATACAAACCCTGCCATGAACATTTCTTTTCTGTAATTCACAGAACTCATCAGGAATCAAACTCAAACCTTGTCTCTAACCTGACCCTTCTTGCATCCTGAGAAGGGCTCAGTCTCTTGCTTTTAGAAGGGCAGTACTGATCAACATACTCAGGATAAATCTGTTCTTCCCACTCAGAGGCCTCTGTACACCCTTATTTTTCTGTAGAGAAAGCTGATCCTAGACCAATGGATCCAAACTAACCCAGACAAGACTTCTGCAGTGATTCAGTGGCTTTCTAATACAAAGTCAGCTACTACAGAATGATTTAAAGAACAAGTTTTAGCTTCCTTGACCCCAAGACTAAACAAAGGGGTATTTCCACAAAAGGTATTTTCCCAGCATTGACTATGTGCTAATAGAACTCCTATGCAAAATATAGAGGGATAATATTTTTCCCTTATTCTACAAGCAACACCATTATTCATGAGGATGTTTACATTAAGGATGTCATTCTAGCTGTTCATACACAGTTTTTCAGACCTCAGTATGCAAAAGAAGCCCAATACACACTCTCAGATGCAACACCATATTTAAACCCTTGAACTGGTTCCCCCAGAAGGTCCCAGGGCAGGTCACCCCCTGAAAACATTCCCCATGTGCCCAGCTACAGCACACAGCAATGAAGAACAGGGAGCAGGAGCTAAGCCGTGGCTCTGTTCCTGGTCTGCAGCATCTGGCAGTTTGGGGCTTTTCCAAGAGCAAAGGCAGAGCCCTCAGCCGCTGACCTCTCTCGCAGCAGTCATCCCATGACCCACTCGCTGCACTTCCTCTGCAGGGTATCTCATCTGCTCCTATTTCTACAGACCTCATTCTCTAGCTGTTCTACATCCCCCTATCCTCTGCCCCCCTTAACTTTATGAAGTCTTCATCACAGCTGAGGCTAAGTAAGTCATGACTGGATCACTAATCTCCTTGTCATCACTTAGGACGTGACGTGATGCTGATATTATTGAATTCAGGTGCCCTGCTATTAAGCCTTAAGTTATGTGAGTCCATCACAGGCTGCTCCGCTTTCTGTCATTATTCCGTACAGCTGCACAGAGCCTTTCATTGCCTGGAGCTTCTAGAAGGACATGATAGGTGCAGGTGCTCACGTGTACTTTTTTTCATCCCTAGGGACATGTTCATAGGAGGCCTGGGGATTACATCCAAACCAGTTACCCTGCAGTCACATGCCTCTCTCCCAAAATACTGAAGCTATTTGCTGTGTGCATTGAAGAAGAGAATAAGAAATCTAGCAGAGACACTAGAAAAAAATGATTTTTTATCAGATATGTCACTGGCTTTTTAATGACCTCTTTTATTTTTGCCTTTAAGGTGAAGAGGGAGCTCATCCTACATCTACAAAACAGAAGCGATATGAGAAGGACACCTCCCCTGACCACAGAGAGGAGGGAGCAGGTCAGGTGCCGAGCCCCCACGCTGCAAGGCCCCGCAGAGGGCACCGTGTCTTGGCTATGAGCAACAGCACAAGCGTGGCCTGGCCCCGGGCAGCAGGACAAGCCCTAGCACGAGGAGCAGCCCACTGCGTCACGCACCGCTCCACGCAGTCCCCGCTGAGCCCAGGGCTCCGGGGCACCAAGGAAGAGGGCACAACACTGATTCCCAACTGGGACTCTGCCGTGGAAGGCGGCCTGCCAAGGCTCCTATCTTGCTGTTCACACAGGACCTCTCATTAAGTGGCTGAGCCAAG